TGGCATTTCAGTCTCTATAGAGGGAACTGGACTTGACCGTCTTGAAGAAGTGTGGGAGAGTGGCTGGTGGCTCTTCACACCACAGTGTCATCACAGGAACTAAGTAAGTACCAAAAAGGAGAATTGCTAACACACACCTGTGACGATCCTCTGCGTCCTGAGGTGACACATGTGCACATCAGTTCCTAGATACAAACTGCAAGATGTGTTCTGTAATTTTGACTATTTCTTACGTTTCTTTTATGCACAGGGTTGTTCCCATAATAAAAAGTGACTTTCTTTTAAGTGTGACATAGATAGCAATGCAAGAAATGTCTGCTCATCATTGATCTCACGCTATACATCAACTCTAAGGACATCAAGGACTCCGCTAGAAAGATGGAGCTGAGAAGTCATCATCTATTTCTTGTTGGGCTCATGACCAGGAACTTGACACAATCATCTCATTCATTTCTTACACTGACCCTATGAGACAGCATTAAACCACACCTGAGGCTCACTGGGTCAAGTATTTGTCTCAAGCCAGAGAGCTGAGTGATGGTGGAGCTGGATGTCCATCCATCGCTTGTTGACTCTAAAGAACATCCCCCTGTTAGAACATCTACCTGTCAGGAGGTGATTTCACATGTATTTGAATGTGCCAAACATTCCACTTTTGCACGCACTCCTGCTGGGAAAACTCAGCCCTGAAGAAAGCAGAAGATGTCTCTTGTAAGGCCTCTCTTGCTTATTCATCTATTATAATATTGGACCAGGGTCCACTTTCAGAGTCCAGGAAATTTACACAGATTGTGCAATGATAACCATCAATCATATTCAAAACAGCTATGAAGGCAAAAATACCAAGGGTTAGCCTGAGGTTTGCAGAACCTTTTGTCCAAGAGATTACATAATTTTCTTTGAACTTACACATTCATTATTCATTTGACAGGTATTAGCAGAGCATCCACCATATGTTGCACCCTGGACACTTGTAGATGTTTATAAATGTTGATTTGTGATCAGTCTTTAATTCACCAAATATTTCCGGATTATCTACTATGTGCCAGACATTGTGATAGATTCTGATGGGTTAAAGAAAGAGCAAAACCTGGTCCCTGCCCTCAGGAACTCTGCTACTTGAGATTTATTCTCCAATTCTTCAATCACTCCAGAAAAAGAAGTGTTCTGCCCTTTTCCCTAATGTAGAGGCATAATAACATGAATAATGTCATCAAATATGTGCCAGCATTTCTGTCTTCGCCCACTTCAGATGCATGCTCTGCCCTTCTCTGCGCTGCTCCAATCCCTGTGGCCTAGCCTGACCTGGCTGATGGCACCCAGTTGGGTATGGAGATAAGGGCACCCACAAGAAACTGAAGGGTGGTGGGGGAGAAGATACAGTCCAAGCTTTTCCTTTTCTGTCCTCTCCTTGCATCCTCATTGTTGCTGGGGAGCTGTGTCCCCTGGGGACTATGGCTCCAGGGCCCTGGGTGGGCTTCTCCAGAGTTCCAACTCTTACTGGCTTCCAGTAACACTGTTTTCCTTTGGTCCATTTGGCCATGGAGTGACAATGGCTTCCTGCCTTTACTGGTCTCCAGATGCCTCACTCTTTCTCATTTATTCTCCTAACTTGGCACAGACATCTACAAAGAGTCCCCGTGTTAGAATCTCTTTATTTGAACCATCCGGGGCAAATTCTGTTTCTTGTGGGGACCCTAGATAACCAGTGTATCAAAGCTGACAAAATATTAAAAACCATCTGCTCGCTCCTTCCCATTTTCCGAGGACAGGAGTCGGGTCCGGAGAGCACTGCACTTGCCTGAGGATGCTCAGCCTGCCGGAAGAACGCGCACCCGCTCCCCTGCCTCCCCAGCCCCTGCTCCCGCATCACGCACCCCAGACCACCTCCTGGCACGAGTCATGTTTCCTCTGTGGGATCTGATCTTCCAAGCTCTGGACAACAGCCCCTTCTGCAAGCGTTTAAACCTGCAAGCTAAGGACATGAATGAACTGAGTCATCCCCACAGAGCTTCGTTAAGTTCAAGGCAATTCAAGATTTCTGAGTCATAGGTTTCAGTCATTTAGACTTTCCCAGCTGGTACTGTACTTGCCCACACACATTTTTCTCTAAAGATTACATCTGGGTCTAGATGTGTGGCTTTTCCCACTCCTCAACAGTTTCTGAAAGAAACCAGCCTCCCAGCACGATCTGTGCTGGACCGTGCCTTTCGCGTTGGCCGTGTGCATTTGCGTCTTTGCATGGCTTAATGGCATTAGCAGTCTGCAGCTTGCTCCAGACTCCAACCACCAAAGACACACACCCTTCCAGATTCTATATCCAACACAGTATCTCACCCAGCCTCCCCAGGAAACTCAGTTATAACCATATGGTGACTCCGCTCACTGAATAATATTTAGCAACTTGATGAACAAGGACTGAATCATATCTGAACCATCTTGGCCAAATATTGTTTTATATAGCAACAGTATTAGTAATCTATATGTTTTACTTTTTTTATACTTGTACTTCCTGCTACGCCCACTGGAAATTAAGAGCGAGACCTCACTGAAAGTAGACGGCACAATAAAAGTGCTCTCGCTCATCAGCGAGCTTTGGTTCAATATTGCATTGTATGTAGGATACATTCAGAATGTCTGCTTTTTCTTTTCCTCCAGAACAGCTGCTGGGGTTGAGCAATAGTCTCCCAGGGTAACACAGCAGGGAATCCTGGGGCATTTCCCAGACACAGAACACAAAAGATATGTATCCACGGGGAGGGGAGGGTGTGAGGTCTCTGCCTCCCACCAGAAAAGAAGCTCTATATTCTCAGGATGGGGGGAAGAGTTTTAGCAAGCATCTTTGGGGAAGGAGGGCAGTGGTTAGGTAATCTGAAGAAGGTCACTTGCCTCTCTTCTTAGGTCAGCAGGGATGATAATGAAGACCTTTTATAAACTGGAATCCAGCAGACAAGGGCTCCTTCAGCCATTTATCATGTGCAGGCATGGTTTATGCCTTGTACATGCAGCCACAAGCAGGATACGATCCATACTTTCAGTGAGCTAACAAGTTGAAAATAGGAACATGCGGCGATCATTTCAATAATAGATGGCTTGGCTAGGATGGAGCTCTGCACAGTGGAGGGGCTCTGCACAGTGGAGGGGCTCTCCACTCAACCTGAGAATTCCTGCAAAAGCTGGTGCTCACGATGTATCTTGCCCAGATTCACGGAGCTGAGAAAGGTATTCCAGAGAGTCGAGAGTGTGACCATCAATTACATATAATGCATCGCACAGAGTGGCAGGAAATAAGGCCACGCGTATAGCGGTTAAGAAATATTTGTTATGATTACTACAAGCATCGGTGTTATTTTGAAAATTAAGAAAGGGGTTTCTGAGAGGGTCCTCCTGGCCTGGCTGTACCTCTCCCCACAGCCAGGAAAAGTACTGAGCCCCTCTTTATGGGAAAGTTTGGCTGTAAAGTGCTGATCTCCCTAGAATTAGACAAAGGAGCCCTCTTGACTCCACGTGGATGATCCTTGACATGTAATTCCCTAAAGAAAGGAGCTCACTCTCTTCCTTCTTGGAGAAATATGTGTTGCTGTCCATGATCTAGTGATGTTGTCTATGGCAGCTGACTAGCAATGTTTGAAAAATAAATGAGTAAACAGACCCTTTCTTGGAAAACTGACTCTCAGAGATGGAAGGGGATTAAGCATCATTTCATCTAATGTCCTTATGTTACAGATGAGGCAGTTGAGTTCTAGCGAGGGAAACTGACCGGATCACAGGCACCTGGTACATCAGTGGCAGAGCAGGAGCTGACCTGAGGTGCCCTGAGTGATGGTCAAGGCTCTTCCAAGGACTGCATGAATTCTAAAACCTCTAGGTCAAAAGCAATCACTGTATTCTTAATGGAACTGCATTTTCTCAGCATGCATGTGTCCCCAGCTCTGTGACGAGCATGGAAGAGAGGAGAGAGAAGATGTAACCCTTTCCTTCAAGGAGCTCCTAATGCATTGAGGAAGTCAAGTTCACCGCATACAATCATGGCAGATTAATCAGAAGTCATTATACAATCATCGTCAAAGGATTCTGTACACATCAGGAGCGAGGACATGCCG